TCTGTACAATTGTACATGAGACGATGATATATTTTTAATAAATGATTTTTTATACTACTTGCTTGAAAATTTTGCATAATCAAAAGGGCAACAGAAACATGAGTCACCCATAATTTCGACATAATGACGATTAGGGAAAACATCTTTTACATATTTCAGATAGCTAACGCGACTGCTTGGATTTAAAATTGTTAAAAATAACAGAAAACGATCGGATTCAAAGTAGTCGGGTACCTACGCTGACGCCGCCCATGGGCCGTGTGCATATCGAGAACGGTATTTCAAGCTTTGTTTTTAGCATCCATGGCGTTTCCTTGTTTAGTTATAGTGGTAGGCTCTTAGAACCATTTCGTCGATTGACGTCTGTTGTGCTCACGGGTAAACAGTCACGTAGAATGTTGCCGAGTTGGTAGTGGGGCTAGCTATGTAAGTAGTACGTTATAATTAGCCGTGTAATGATTGCGAAGACCATCGAGCAGTAGGTACTTCGGTCAAGAATTTGGAAGGAGTTACCTTTGCCACAAAAATATCTATTACTATAAACAGTATACATATAGCATCAATATTCACTCATTCTTAGCACTGTTCTGATAATTTTGTGTTTTGTGAATAAAATAAAGAAATTGTTGATTGTTGAAGAATTGTTGTATTTTAATAAAGTTAAATTTGATAATAACCACGTTTTCATAAACAGAAACAGCTGGCACATACCACAACCTTCAAGTAGCACGCGGAGATCAATCAAATTTTAAATTCAATTGAAATATTTACAACTGGGTAGATAGCTCAGATTAATACTATGAATAATAGAATGCATGTTTAATTGTACTATAGTTCAAAGAAGGATAAAAGATGGAAGTTCTATGAAATCCGCAAATAATAACGAATAAAAGAACGGGAGCATCGCCGTAAAGAGAGAGGCAGCTCAATTTAAAAATAGAATAAAAATAATGGGTTTATTCGATCAGGCCGTTACAAGAAGAACCGGTATTAAAAAAAGACAGCATTTCCTTCCTGTTTTATTGCAATCGAAGACCTTATTACAGAAAATGCTAAGAGATGACTTTCCATTCACTTTACACTTTTTTTTAAATAAAATATCATATTATTATTGACCTAGATATAGATATGTAGGTAATAGCCAGCAGAGCTTTGAGAAAAGTTTACAATCACGTATTTGTGCAACGGTATTCGCACGTGATAGAATACACCTATCACTATATTAATGGGTTGAATATTACTACAGACTGAGGTACTTTATAAGGAAAATATTGAAATGATTATCAGAAAAAATAGTAATTCATCCTAAAAAAAACAATTGGCAACTTTACCTAGTCTTTAGTTGACAATAAATTGTTATTGGGTACATCAACTAAACGTATATAAGCTTTTTACATATACATAAACACGGCCGTATCATATATATCCCTAAAGGTGTGGTGGCAGCATGAGGAAGATTTCATATCCTACCTGTCAGATAAATAAGTGGTATACTTTTGTTCGGACAGGTATGCGAAATCTTCCTCTTGCTGCCACCGCACTTTTAGGGATATATACGACACGGCCGTGTTTATGTATGTATATGTATACTTCTTCTCGAGGACCCATATTTGTAACACAGATTGTCGGGCCTAAGACTGTTTCATAGGGTAACCTGAAACAATAGTGATAAATCGCTTAAAAGATTTGTTGATGTACTTACTCTTAATAGGAGCTAGTTGAGCGGGAGCGACATCAGTTGGCGAATTTTGTTTTCTCATTACTCCCAGTCTGGGAAGTAATTGTTTTTACAATCCTACATCAATTTTTCAATTTAACAAAAGTTCCCTGCCAGTTTTATTCGTAATTGGACGAATCAATATTTTTTTATGTCACCCCGTACCCCTATCATTATATATCGAGAGGGGAATAGATACCGTTAATAATGAAAGCCATTTAACATCATTTATCAGCTGTTTCGTAGTAGAAACGATAGCGTATTAAAAATTGATAAGTATTATATAGTTTTAAACTTGGGTTGTGGTATTGTACGTTTTGAAATAAACACTGTGGTAGACCAACGTAGAAAATGATGATCAGAATGATGATAGATGATTTATCAAGAGTCAGAACATCACATGATATGTTAGGGGATTACAGTTAATACCTGCAACCCTAAATACAACAGAAGTTTCAAGTTTATTTGATATCCATTCAGCATGAACGTGGTAACGATTTTTTGCTCTCGGATCTGGGTTTAGTTATTCGGTTTTTCTGATTTAGGAAATCGGGCCAATTTACACGGGTTTGTAAGAAAATATTGTCAGTGCATAATTGCTTATTTACTTCCTGTAGTCTATGTTGTTTCTACGCTTAGAGTATGTTATATGCTCTAAGTTTCTACGTGTCAAACGCTATTATTGTGTTGTGTACTACATATGTCATAGGTATTTATTATGCACCACTAGGAGGGGAGACAATCGCAAAATATCGATTACCTACCAGAGGTACGATCAACTGAAGCCTGATATGCGAACGATTTTAGTACGAATACAGCCTTTAAAACAACTGCATAAAATACAATCAGTTTTAGCTGTGGATACAGGCACATCGTATACGATGACTGCGGTCAGGCTGTTTTACAATGCGCACACGTACCGCATCAGTCGATTTACATAGCTGCCTACCTAATTACCTACACTACACGTATTTCAACCAGCGCGTGTACGCAACTACGCACAATCATTGTCTCGTTAGGAAGCAAAATCACCTGCGCCGTGCCACTGAAAATAAACATCACGCTTTGACAGCGTTGAACATTGATCGCCAAAGAAGGAAGTTCAGGCATTCCTTTTGTGTAAACACAGCAACTGCCGGTTGGAAATTCTTGGTGCGTTTTGTATGATACTGAAATTAGCATCTACTTAGGTACCATAAATCAAGTAAACTTTCAGTTTACACACGGCTTTCTGTAGGTTTACACGAATAATTTGAATCCTTGATATTATATTTGATGAATAAAACATCTGAGTACTACTTACCTGTGTTAATTAAAAAAAACAAAGTCCTATCTAGAACTAAAATACGTATTACAGGATCATGCTATGAATTTAAAGAAAATTTGACATTTAATTTGTGTCAGTGTTTTGATGCCAGATTGATGGGTGTTAACGATACAACTAAACGTACCTTTCGAAGCACCTGGGTGCTCAAGACGGGTTTTTTGGTCAACCTTCCGATGTACCAGCCATCGTGAAATGAAATTATATTACTTAGTTGCTCAACACGCCATGCATCAAGCTTTGTGTGTGTGTGTGTTTTGTTTTTTGAATATGCTTGATATTTGAAATGAAAACTCAGGGGCACAATGTGGTTGAATCATGAATTCATGTATCCATGAATCATAATACCTACCTTCGGATTCAGAACACCTTAAACCGGCAATCCAAACTAAATATAGATAGCGTTACGCTTTTATTAGTTTTCACTCTGGTGGAAAAATACTATTACATATAACATAACTGTTCAGTCAGGTGGTTTTTTCTAGCCATTACATCGGCATCTGGTTTCTCATACCTGAAGTGCTACGGACTATCTTTATGGACCATTTCATTGAATATTCATATTGATTCAGATTTGTTAAAGGCCGAGTTTTTTTTCAATAGCGAAGCTTTCTACATCGGCAGCTGCAGTATGAGTATGATATGATTCATATTAACCCACATTATCGGCCACCATTATGAGCGTGGCGCACATAGGTAACAACAATGGACAGGTATTCGTCTGTTTAAAGGGTCCGAGGCTATTGATGTTTGTTGGTACATCAACACGCTTAAATATTTAAATATGAAATACTTTATGCTAGCCATGCGTCAATACAACGCGCAATAACAAATGACTGCCGCATTCCAGGCCCACCACTTTAATTAGGATTAGGTGCTACTATATTATCAATTCATTGGCTGGCGTATCATTAATGAACTTGGCCGACTAATAATAGTGCAGTATTGTGTCGACAGAGTAATAACAACGTATGAAGATCAAATGCGCATCGTTAACTGGATGATGTTACAGCAAGCAAGTTAGGCAAAAAATATCAGACCAACCTAATTCTATAGACCGTTTCTTTATGAATTCAAGCCTTAATTCATCAATACTGTGTTCTATATATTTTACTTAATTTACGACCTTTTTGTGGAAAGACTATTTTATGACCTGCGCAGGCGCGGGACTTTTGACAGCGGACTTTTCTGTCCGCCAAAATAGATCGCTTACAATCTGCTCCGAGCAACGCATACGAGGACAACCCGAACAACCGTGGACAGCGAGAGACGCGACAGTACAAAAGTACGCGGGAGTCCCCGAAAAAAATAGAACTCATGTGACTAGCAACGCAACGCACACGGCGAATTATAGTCTGCGTTGCGCGCTCGATCCGATTTAAAGAGATGGACCCAGTTTTAGAATATTTTTCCTTTTTCTTAAACTTCATGTTAATTACAACGCAACGTAATCCCAGAATATTTGTTTCCATAACGTGCGTTTCTCTTTTCCGGGCCACAAATGTCCGCACACAATGTGCGTTGAGACCGTGGCAAGTCCTCGGCGGGCATTTTTTCACATGACTTTTGTCCTCCACGGACGAAAGTCCCTTGTCTGCGCAGGCCATTATTGTGGTAATTTTTATATCGTTACAATAGACAATGTTTACCTATTTGTAAATGTCAAAAGTGTAAGTACTTCAACATTTGGTTTCAAACTATTTTAGAGTTCATTCCTTTGACGGTTGTCGAGCTTTATAAAACTCAAAGGATCTCTTTGATTTTGTTGACTTATTTTCGGGAAAACGTAGTACTTAGTACCTAACATTTTTTTAATTCAAGTTTAGCAAAAAAATCCAGAATTAGGTTCATTGCTATCAGGTGGGTCATAATGTAAACATACTTAACATGTGAATTAATAATAATGCCACCCCTTTAAATTAAACCAAAATATTAAACGCTTCTCGTTTCTTGTTGCAGCGGGCTGAACTTCCAGGATCTGATTGTGAGACAAGGCGTCATCGACAGCCCACCAAAGACACCATTCATCCTCGGGTTCGAATGCGCTGGAGAAATCGAGGCGGTCGGCGAAGGCGTTACCAACTTCAAGGTGAGAAAAATACGTACATACTTGCACACTTATTATGTATAGCTCCACGATTTTGCAGGTTTTAGTGGGAAAACAAATGCAATACGATGAGAAAAATATATATAAAAATATTGTCCATTTCAAACGTTTTTGAGATCAAAAATAGACAAAGAGGTAGGTAAGCCTGAACATGCGCGGCCATTCGGAGACGGGAGCCGCGACCACACCCGCCCTCTTGGCACGCACTAGGGGGACAGTGGTGGTGGTGGATTATTGTCTGGTTTTTAGTGGCCCTGTTCATGGGCATAGATAAGGCCCTGTTCACTTCAGCGAGCTCCAGGGCTGGCTGATGGGGACAGGGAGTCCCACATACCTTCTTCTCGCTCCCCCAGTGGTTGAAGGATGCGTAAGACATTTCCCAGACACAAAAAAAAGGTAAGCCTGACTATAACTTAGTGATAGGAACTCGCAGTCGCAGAGCCTTATCAAAGCCAAATTGATCAGATTCTTTAGAATGGATTAAAATCTACGGCAGGTGATTGAGATTGTGAGGTAATGAGAATTCGCTCTCAAAACGATTGAAAGAGATTTAATAAGGTGCCTAATCCAATCAATGCCAAATGTGGCGTACGTGGAGGTGTGGTGGCCAAGTTATATTAAAGATAGATAGGTCATCTGTTTCATGCTGTTCTGCTTAGACCGCATGGGTAAATTTATGTGTAAGTTATATAGTTTATTATAAACTCATCCCATAAAAACACTTCATTAACATTTAAGTAGCAATTATTTAGTCTAAAATATTATACGATAAAATAACAGACAGTTTGCTAACATATCACCTGCAATAGGTGCAATGCAAATCTGTTCGATGATGGACTGTTATCTGCGTGAAAAAGTTCACAGCGAGCGTACCCATATTTTCCTTTTAACTTCAAACCACCATGTACGACACCTGAGCGTATATATTGCTTGAAATGTTTTTTAGCTTCTCTGGAAGTGTAATGACAGACGCGTGTGTTATCTCTTTTTAAAATTGCCACATTAAATATAATTTCATATCAAGCATGTAGATTGAATACTATTTACTTGTAGACTTTATTTCTGGTACCAAATTTATGATAGCAATAAAATAGCATCAAATAGTTTTATTATTTAGATAAGTAATTGATAATTAATATACTTTCTCCACGAATTCTTCATTCTCTTCAAAAATATTAATATAGTTAACATTACAATCTATAATATCTTCACTAAAGTTGTTAAAATAAAAATAAATATAAGTCTTATTAAAATCGATGTTGTGTTGTGATTGCCTAAATTTTATTCGAACACACACTGTCCTGATATTTTGTTATCCATTTCTTGATGAGTGTAATCAGATCGATCAAGATCTGATATTCTCAATATTAAGTCATCAAATTTTATGGAAATTGGCTTGATTGAATCCGTCGTGCTGTAACAATGTATAAACTGAACGTTAAACAATGGTGAGTAAAAAAGCTGTTTCCCCAAGCTTCGTCATTGTAGCGTATCGGGTCAAAGGATACTGTCATGGTCAGCTGCTTTTTTGAAGGACTTTTGGTGTAACGTTCTGTGTAAGATACAAATTCAACGCACATAAAGGAGGGCTGTTATTATAATATATTATTATTTGTAAGTGAAGTATAAGTAAAATAGGTTTAGTGTCAACTTTGGTACATAACGTTAGTTATGTAATATTTAGTTAGATTATTCTATAATTTGGATTAACGTAATTAACTGAGTTTAAATCAGCTTGTGAGACACCTAACACCTATAGATTACCTAATTGTGTTGTTTTGTAATTGGAACTAATTTGTAGCGCGTTTATGTCTATTGCTTACAAAGAATAACATAAGAAAATCTACACCGTTTATATAGAAGGAATTAGAATTTACTTACATTTTATACATAATTGATATATATTGATATTTTGCACTCTGTAATTTCTTATTTTACCAATACCTAATCAAAAAAGATAATTATAAAATGGAAAACGGTGTTTCGTTCGAGAATTTTCAATAATTGTAAGTTTGAAATTTCTAATCAAGCCAAGCGTTTGAATAATGTAACAAAATAATTCGCTAGAGTTCTTTGTGGCAAGTACCCTACAAAATGGCAGGGTGACGAACTCTTTAGGGGGGAAAGGTGGAAGGTCATACATATTAAACTTTCTCCTTGGGTAGGCTATAAAAAGACGGGGAGCGGAGCCGCAATTTTCGCCCGATCCTTTATGTAGACACTGTGAAATTTCGTTTTATTCCACCCGGGCTTTAGTTGATGTCCTTACTATTCTTAAGTAAGCAAGTAGGTAGGTACACATTTCTCATGTCCACGCGTACAAACAAAGAAGTGGTAACTGCTCAATTTTATCTGTGTGAGTTACATTTTCATTATCTAACTAATGATGAAAATTAACGAAAGAGGAACCGACAACTTTATATGTAATGTAAGATTAATTTGTCTTGAATTTTTTATATCCGAAAACCGATGTAGACATGTATTTAAAGGTATTTCGTAGATAAGTTAAGACATGAAAAGGTAATTTGTTAAAGCAGTGTAAAAAAATATTAGATCGAGGAAAGGAGGTTATAGTTAGCAATTTGCTGTAACATAGTTCCATTATAACGGATTATGAAGCGTAGTATTATTTTTGGTACATATACGCACTTTTTTCAAAAAGTATCCATTACCAATTTCTTCCTTCTGTATTCAACTTGTATTGAACGATTTGTTATCCATATAATTACCGAATAGACTTTAATTATAACATTAGGTAGGTAGGTATTTATGTAATAATAGTTTGATGTAAATAATTAATTTGATAACCCGTACTAAAGGATGATAATTTGGTTTACCTATAAACAGATCTTATACTTTTCAGTATTAGGTATGGTTGTTATCTTAAAACTCTTGTTCGCTTGCTCACAGGAGGTACAGATTAGATCGCGCCAAACTTCTAGTCCGCTCTGAAGTTGTTTCGCGCAGGTGTACAGCCCTATACACAACCTTCGTCCCTTTAAATACGAGCTACGACGCGAATTGTGTAGTGTTCAAAGCGGACAAGAAGATTTTCGCGATCTATACTACCTATAAAATAAAATTGTTGAGTCTTCTTGAGTAACTACCTAATCTTTTAGCTTCTACACAAAGAAAATTTTGGAAACGATTGTATTCGGCGAGGGTATGACTTTACACGCTCAACGAGCGTGTCCTGCAGGCCTCGGACGGCGCGTCTTAATTCCCAAGGGATATTCGAAAAAAGTCCAAGCAAAGATTGTTTTTAACTAATTTATAAATATTTTTTTTTCTTCTATATGTAGGTGGTATGTATCAATACAAGAAAAAAGCACCTATTCAACGAATACATACTAGGTGTATATGTGCAACATTGTTGAAGTTTTCGTGTTAAAATACATGATACCAATATCAAATACATTCGTAGTTACTTATTTCATTTTTTTTTAATTTACTTAACAAATTGATATTTTAAGTAACGAACTTAACGAAGTGTTTCTCTGAGTCGGTGGGTGTGTTTACTATTTTTTGCCGGAAAGACGAGTAGTCTAAAATTGGTATATTTCAACAAAAACTTACTAAAATTGCAATGTAGAATAATAGTACGCAAAGTATCACTGTATTTAGAAATCACAAATTTGATTTTAAACCTAAAATTGTTTGGTCGGAAAAAAGCATTGTCTGAAATTAGTATATTTCAACAAAAACTTTCTTACATTGCAATGTACAAAAAATGGTACACGGAGCGTCAACGAATTAAAAAAATCCAAAGATTTTAAACCCTATAAAATTATGATGGTCAGTCCTATACTACTATGAATTTACGGTGTTAAGGTACAAGTCCAAACTGAACCGCAGATCACAGGCCGCAGCTGCAGACTGAGTTTCTATGAATCTCTATGAAATTGATTCTGAGCGCGGCGACATGCCGCGGCTGCACAATGCATATAATGCTGCCTGCGGTTGTCGCCTGCAGCCCATTGCGGAATTGTACCTTAAAACCATAATATTGTTGAATTATTCTAAAGGACTTCTTTTCATTGTAACACAGGTTGGCGACCAAGTGGTGGCCCTGCCCGAATACAGGGCGTGGGCTGAGCTGGTGGCCGTACCAGCACAGTACGTGTACGCCGTACCTTCCGGCATGAGCGCCTTGGACGCTGTCGCCGTCACCACCAACTACGTAGTCGCGTACCTACTGCTCTTCGAGATGGCCAACCTTACGTCGGGCAAGAGTCTCCTGGTACATTCCGCTGGTGGAGGTGTGGTAAGTAACAAAAGACAAAGAAAAGAGATAGTTCTCAAACTAAAAACTAAAAAGTGTAGTGTTAATGAGTCCGTTTTCGCAAAATAATTGATTGTACTCTCTTCACGTTTTATTTTCATTACAAATAAGTAGTCTATGTTATATTTTTCTACAGTCTCCTTTATCTCCATAATAAAATTCAATGAAATTCACTCTACCATTTCAAGAGTATTTCTTATTCTAATTATTTATATGTATACCTCTACGAGACGAAGCTTAGGTGAGTATATAGCTACTTAAAATAATATATAACTTATATAAGTACTTACTAGGAAAACGCATTGTATATTTAGACGGTAAATGGACAATGCCTGCGAACTCCTACTGTCACATACCCTTGGAAAGCTTTTCCCAAGAAGCTCAAAGGATTACAGTCCGTCGGATTTATTATTCTGCGTTCTTTGAAATCTACGTAGTTTATTTAGGGTATTAACAAGCAATAAATACGTCGCTTGAATTCCGATTTTTTATATAGGTAGGTAGATTAATTGGATTAGAATTTGATGTCTGTGGTGATCGGTGTTCATTCAGTGTACCACGACAGAGTCATGATATCGTAATTATGCCACTATCAGCCACGTGGGTGGCGCCCAGCTTATGTTATGCTTTGATAAGTTTCACGTTTTTATGTTAATATTTCAAACACTTTGGCTTAATGACGTGCGCGTGGTGCGTCCGTCGAATGAGTATACGAACCGATCTGTAACTGTTACATGTCGCTAAAAATACTTTCAGTAGCATTGCCCCTATATAAAGCACTGTTAAACTAAACTTCTCGGAAACGCACCTAATAAGTATTTTGTAAATATCTTTACCGCCAAGTGTTCCCAGGCAATCAAAGCCAGTGTTTTAATTTCTCTCATAATTATAGGTGCTAACGAAAAATATGTGTGGATTCTTTTCCTCTGTTGGATAGTGACGTCACCACATAATACATCTGCACATGCTCTCCCAAAGTTAATGACCTTATTAAGCTTCTTATTATTTTTACAAATGGCAATGTACTTATTAAACCTATAGGCGTATACGTAATTAAACAATATTTATTTTCAATGTCAAGTTTTTTCTGATTTGAAATTTGATGATAAAATAAAGTTGCAAGGTTTCAGCATAAATATTATGGGAAAGCAGATCTAAACTCTACAAATCAAAGCATACGATCACTGGGAAATTTTTGTTTTTTTGTAAATCAGTCGTTATGCTTCTTTAAATGTTCTGCAATCTTTTAGAGACTGGTTGGTACCTACTCTAACCACAATTTAACAATCCTTAAATAAAACTGTGAAAAATTACTCAAATGTTGGCAAACGAACAGCTGGTGCGCCGCGGGTGCAATTGTAAATTGATTTAGTGCCTACATAATTACGGTAGATTTTATCTATTAACTGTTTGTTTAAAAAGGCTGTGAGTACATATATTTCTTGGACAGCTGATTGAGTGATCATACTTAGGTAATTATTCCAATTAATTAGCAAGGCGATCATTACAGCGAATTGCTTTAACGATAAAGGCGGTTTTTGCTATTTATATTATCTGTTTAAATATGTTTTATTACACTTTAACAGTATTGGTTATATGGAACATAGGAACCTACTAACATATTAAAAGTCTAAGCAACGAACTTTTTTGAACTTTTGGCCGATAATTAATGTTTTTTTAATAGCAAGTAATAAGAATATTATTTTGTTAACAATAAGCAATACGATTTATTTCTATTATTATTAATTCGAATAAATTATACATTTTATAAGGATAATATAAAATATCAACGCATAAAACTTGCAGTTTGCTTTACATGTATGTTGCTTAGACTTTTGTTATGTGTGTACCTATATTTAAAAAAAAAATAGTAGCAAAACTCGCTACATTTGAACGGCAAAAGTCTAATTACAAAATTGTTGTCTACATAGGGACAGGCAGTGGCACAGCTCGCTAAGACTGTGGACAACGTGACCGTGTTCGGGGTCTGCTCCAAGAGTAAGCACGAGGCATTGAAGGCCAACAACAACAACATCGACCACTTGCTGGAAAGGGGCAGTGACTACACCAGCGAAGTCAGGAAGTAAGTTTACTTAATTTAACCATACAATCCTGAAAAGTTTCTGGAAATTAAGCTTTAAATTGAATAACCTGCTTGATTCATCAATTTTCACGTTGAGTCCTGGGTGGTTTAGGCAGAGAGAACAGAGTGCCATAAGACACATCTTTTACTCTGGTTGATTTAAAAACCTAAAGAACCATTTAGTCTCTGTCTAGTGGACAGAGTCGATTTTTTTCTAGTAAAACATTCTTTAGATGTACTGTAATTACATTATTGCGATTCCTATTATAATCACCAACTAATTCACTACATAATGTTTTCGAATAATCAGTAGGAGATAAAAGGAATATTTTAACAATATGATTATTATAAAAATACTTTGGTGTCGAAAGTACCCAATGCGGTAAAGCTATAAATAATTTGGTCATTATTTATATTTGAAATGGAAGTGCTTCGCACCCACCTACCGACTGTATAATAATGAGTCACGGAGCAGCGGCACATAATTTGTAATGGGCCGAGTTAGGTTCTAAAAATGAAGGGATGAAATCATGATATCGCGAGGTGCTTAAAATAAACCGCGGCTCGGCCCTCCGCCGCTAATACTTTTGTTTATGTTTTACGAGCGATCCCGAGAATGCGGGACTTTTACAAAATGTTTACGTTTATTTGACGTTATTGCGGCTGTTTTGTTTGATCCATTTTGGCAGTCACGCGGCGCGGAAGATCGCTTCTTTTTATATCGTCATTCAAAATTTTGTAATCTTCGTAACATTGTTTCGTGTTGTTGCATATATAGGTAGTTATGTTTATATTCATAACTTGTTCGAACAGACACCAACTGTAACGTTTATCGCTTGTTATGCTTATTTGTGATGTCAACAAGTGGTTACAGTGTAGGTAAACGTGCGAAGTACAATCATATCGTCAAGTGTCTCCTGATAAGAAAATCGATTTTTTTATCCTTACATATTTTATCAATAACATCAACTAAATACCTAAGTGTGTTTCGTTTGTAGTTATATTTAGAAGTTCTAAATATACACCCAACACTAATTCTTCGAAGTCACACAATAATAAAGATTCCCATTGTCATGTCGACGTGATACCGTCAAGATGTTCCCAATCCCAAGCTCTCTTAATTGGTGGTTATTATAGTTACATATTTCAGTGCCATCTCGATCCGTGTGATTCGGATGCCACCAATTTAAGAAGAGACCTCATTCTTTCTCTCTCTTGTTCATCAATTAAGTGGCGCGGATCTGAGTAAAGGTCCTTAACATTTTGGATGGTGCGCACGTTAATTGTTCAGTTTATAACCCGCTCCATAGGGCAGCTGCTTCGTAACAGCCGCGGCATTTAATTCTCGTAAATAGACAAAGATATTTTTATATGTGGGGAGAACTTCGGTGCGTAAACATCGGAGCCACACAAGTTCAATGTAAATAAACAGTGCCAGATATCTACTGCTCTTGCAAGAACGATGATGCTGTTGTCTTTGGGAAATGTTGAAATTTCATTATTTACGCTAGTAAAACTAATATAATGTTTACTTTACCGACATCAAAGAAATGTTGCAAACCAATTACAAATACTATGAAGGTAGCGTACCTAATGATTTTGCGTCTCCATTTCTTTAGCAACACACGTTTCTAATTTTATTGTTTATCAATAACAATAGAACAATAGAGTATTTTAGCATTTAATTGCTAGATTTTTATATTTCAAACTAGGTATCTAGAAAAGTCGACATTAAATTGATGACAATTTAAAGTCAAAAGAAGAACAAAAAGGAAAGCATTAAATTCTTGTACACCCCCCGCAAGTCGTAAAGCTAGCTGTTTTAGGATTTTATGTCAACTTCTTTAGGTATATACATACAGCCAAGGTCTTAGCGGTGGCAGTGGTTACAATTTGTCATTCTCAAAGCCTTTATTGCGTCGCATTAAGAGCTATATTCGTAGTGCAACTTCTTGTGGCTTTAACGGTACTATACGCTGACTGGTGTAATTTATATGTGCTTAGCCGAATATTTTTATCGCACAGACTCTTGTTACATCTACAGGGTGTCTCCCGATGGAGTGGATATAGTGCTGGACTGCTTATGCGGCGAGGAGTGCAACCGAGGGTACTCGCTATTGAAGCCAATGGGACGATACATTCTTTATGGTAAGTTTACATTCAACATTCTTATTTTCATATAGATTTTAAATAAAGTTTTAAAATCTTCACCTTATTTCCCTTGTAATAAATCAATATTTCTTGTTACATACCAATACAATAAATAAAATGAAAGTGTGACAAATAGAAACTATCAAAATAAAATACGAAACAATTTATATTTTTTGAGCAATCCCAGTCGGAATGTAGCTTTTATTCCAGAAATGTTCAAGAAATGTTTAATATTGACAAAAACATAAATTTTGAAACAATCTTTGAGTTGAACAATCTTTCGAGTCCCTTTATTGTTATCTTATGTCTTTAACTGCTGAATTTATAAATTTAAAGAAAATTTTAGTAGAAGATATTCAGGCGCAGGTCAAATTTGTCTGATGCTTGGATCGAGTGGATATTTTTCTAGAAAAATTTAGTTACAACTAGATTATAATCTAGCCATTTTATTATGATAACGAGTCATGATTGTTTTTTTCTTTAAGTTTCCATGAAATAGGCTGCATTCCTCAGTTTGTCATGTTTAAATATCAGTGGGTAGGTAGTAAAACAATGGTGTTGTATCTCAGGATCATCTAACATCGTGACTGGCGAGACGAAGAGTTTCTTCAGCGCTGCGCGTGCCGTGAGTACCTAATGTCATAATAATTTCTAAGTATTTATTAAACCACTCTTCCACTTTCAACGTTTATCACATTTTTTTCAAGATTCCTTAGTTCAAGATTCTTGTATTTGAAGTAACTCATTGGAAATGTGTTTTGAAATACATGTCAGATAGTGGTGTGTGCGGAAATATATCTCACTAGCTGTGCCCCGCGGTGTTACCCGTTTATTAGGGATATTTTCCCGCAGTAAAACGTAGCCTATGTGTTAATCCAGGGTGTCAGCTAACTCCATACCAAATTTTAATTAAAATCTCTAGCCGTTTAGACGTGAAAAAGTAACAAACATACACACTCACACACTGACAAACTTTCGCCTTTATAATATTAGTGTGATAAACAAGTAAACTGCTAGTACTTTAAGACATTTTATATTTTTAGAAAGCTCCGACCATTTTCGAGTTCTATCTTTACCTATTCAACTACAGAAGAACTTTGCTAGAACAATGAAGATATTTTAAAAATAGGGTGAAAGCCGGATAGTTGTCACCCTTTTCAATAAAGCTCTTTATTTCCTAAATAAGTACTAGTTAGGGATGATGCAGTATGTAATTAATAAACAGGTCTTTGATCTTTCATAGTAGTTAATTTGTGTAAACTAAATTAATATTGGTTTTGAATAAATTCATTTTTAATTTTGCCTTCCAAAAAAAGAATGTAATTCCAACTTGAATGGTAGACACTTGCCTCTTGTGGGAATAGACCACCCACTCCACTATGTTTAAGTTCAATATACAAACATCTTTATAAACATCATCAAATATATGTAAACATTTAATACCTTGTCTCTTTTAACCCGGACATTGACCATAGTCACCAAAAATTTTATTGGCAAAATGACAAAAGGGATGATGTAAACGAAATTCTATTTAGTTCGTCAGTTAGATTATCAAAAAACAATGGATACTTAATTTTCTCTTCTTTTGTCAATCAACCAAAAAATAAATAAGACAAAAGAGCGTCAACGTTTGGGAGACGTACTGGCCTCTTGACGTCACTGCTAAGTAGAAATTGTCGTGATGTCATGCGACATTTAAATCAATATATCTCTATAATGTTTTGATAATGTGAAAAATTAAAAAAATACTAGTCATAATTCTTTTTTACAATCTACCTGAAAAAGCTAGTCATCATCACTGAGCACGAGTTTTTGACAGCTCCGTAAAGTATCATAATCATCAAATTTTGTATGGAAAAAGCTAGTTTACATAGAAACTTTGACGATGCGATACGTTACGGAGCTTTAAAAACGTGTGCTTAGGTCTCTGTAATATAAGTGACGATATTGTTGTTCCAGTGGTGGCAAGTGGACAAGGTGTCGCCGATCAAGCTGTTCGACGAGAACAAGAGCCTGGCGGGGCTGAACCTGCGGCACTTGCTGTTCCAGCAGGGGCGCGCGGAGTGCGTGCGGCGCGCGGTAGACGCGGTGTTCGCGCTCTGGGCGCAGGGGAAGGTGAAGCCGCTGGTGGACTCCACCTGGGCGCTGGAAGACGTGAGTACTATAGTAGAGACTTAGTACAATGTGTCACGCTTCCAGCTGTTCGATGGAACAAGAGCCTGGCGGAGCTGAACCTGTGGCACCTCGCAAGTTGGACGCGTTATTCGGGAAAGGTGAAGCCACTGGTGGACTCCAGCTGAGCACTGGAGGACGTGAGTACTATATCGTATACTTAGAACAAGGTTTCGCTCATAAAGCTGTCCGACGGAACAAGAGCCTGGCGGGGCTAAACCTGCGGTACCTGCTGTTCCAGCAGGGGCGCGCATAGCGCGTGTGGTGCGCGGTGGACGTGGTGTTAGCAATCCTCAGGTGATGTACAAAAAAAAGTATAAAAATACACATAACGTATTTTTGAGAAAAATAAACGTACAATAAAAGAACATTACAGTGTTGACTATCTTTCTTATTTTCTGGTGTACAAAAAAAACTACAAAAAACTAGTGATTTATCGAGTAACAGAGTACTAGCTTTTAATGATTTTTAAAACCGAGGCCGAAAACTCGGTTTAATCTTGTTCGGATGAAAAAACTGGTTTATACAGGCCCGCTCGGGTTGATGATATTATTTAATATTAAAAAATGGTTTGTTGTCAAAAGTTAAAGAGTCCTTTTGAGTGCGGGCAGGACATAAAACGAGACTGCCAGTCGTTCAGCCCGAGTGTATAAGCATGTGCTTTTAACTACAGTTTTAAAATTAAGAAATAATCATAGTTTTTAATACACTCTCTTCGTTTTTATAATATCGTTCAAAATATATATCTTTTTTTACCGAGTATACTTGTGATGTGAACCGAGCTATTCGGCCGAGTATGAGTACTAAAAAAACTCGAAATACGCAGAGTACCAAGCATAAAACGAGGACTCGGCCCATCTCTAAAAAATACTCACACGTATTTTTGAGAAGAAAAGAAAAGTACTTACAATACAAGCACAGTGATGACTTTTTTAGGTGGTGTACATAAAAGAGAATAAAAGTACAAAAATACTCACACGTATTTTTGTATTTTGGTCGCTTTGATGATAGATAGTTGGATCTTGATTACAGCGTGGAAGGAAACCTTAGGTACTTTTCTAAATCCAGCTCTTACGATTATTATTTAGTCAGACTTGAAAATGATTTTTAAGAATTACTGTTAAGGTGATGTTACTTTCTCGGCTTTTTAATAAAAATACGTGTATATAATAAAGTGCCTCTTTAAAAAGAGCGTCTCTCAAAATAATTAGGTATAACTCACACATAATAAAACTCATTATTTGTTGTTAATAAAGACTTTGTGGTAAGATTGCACAACACAGTGTTCTTAATACATATTACTTATTATTGCAACATTGTAACTTTATTAACTTCTGCAGTTTTTAACCGCGATAAGCAACACCATTTATTTTTGTGTTCAATTGAAGAATGCAATTTATATTCTTAATTATAATATTAAATTAAATGAGCAATAACGGAGATAAAAGAACTTATTTATATATGTTTATATATGCTTCTTATTTACTCTCTTTAAGTGAAATTAACTACCTATTGACTTACTATACACAGTAAACACTAATGAAATATTACAAAAAATAATTAAATGTCAAACGAAATTTTTCCAATAAATGGTTAGCATTTTTATTTTTGTTAAAAGGGTGGAAAACAAGCGTATAGCCCGCCTGATGGTAAGCGGCACCATAGCCTATAGATGCATGCGATACCAAAAATATCACTCACGCCGTTGCCTACTATAATCCCCTACCCCGTAGAGTTCTGGAACCTTACTTACCGGCAGAAATACAACACCACCACAAGATAGTATTATTTTACTGTGATTTTCTTTAAGGTGGAGGTTACTTCCCCAGACGGGCGGTCCAATTCGAGCGGAAAATACGAAATCTTTAAGATCTTTTAAAGCTTATCCCGCACTATTGTTAATAGGTGGCTGAGGCGATGCAAAAGATGCACGACCGCAAGAACATCGGCAAGCTGGTGCTCGACCCGTCTCTGGAGCCGAAACCTAAACCAGCTACCCCCGCCAAAGGCAAGGCCGGCAAAGAGAAGAAACCAGCCAAAGAGAGTTCCGAGGAGAAGAAGGATAAGGAGGCCAAAGAAGAGGAAAAGAAACCCGCCGAGAACGGTGAGAAGAACGGTGAAGAAACTCTCACTAATGGTAACAGCGACGAAGGTCAGTCTCGATCTATTGTGACCAAGCATGCGTAGACGAACACGCTTCACATCGTACGTTAAGTATTTATATCATGCCGCCACTACGCACGGCTATTCGTGTTTGAAACTTGACAACAGTCTTTCCTTTCATTCTAAAATGGATAAGGACAACCTGCTGGCAAAATGAGAAAAAGTAAATACGAATAGCTATGTGAAGCGCTAGCATTATACATTAAATAACCATTGTTATTTGCGCTTTTAATATTATTATATTACATACATAACGCACGCACGTTTTTTTCTATAGATAACGCTGTACTCTCCTACACGGAGCGCTGATTCGAAAGTATTTTCATTAATTTATTTATACAGCCTTTAGACTAGTTGCTTTATAGTTAATGCGCATCATTTTAGTATTACATATTTATTTGTCCTTTGTTGTCATAAGCCTCAAAGATGAAATAGAAGGTTTTAATGTAGCTGCTGAAGTGCTGATAAAACTTATGCAATTAAAAGATATTCACAATGAGGGAGTTCGGCAAACTAAATATTCTAATGCAATCATTTTATTTAATCTCTATTAACATGTATGAAGCGCGTTTAATAGAGTTTTATATTAAAAATTTCTTGACTTTTCTGATCCTTTTCTAGCTCTGTTTTAACAAAACTGAGATTAGTTGGTCATCTATGAAAAATATAAAGAACCAAGTAGTTATTCTTCAACCATTAGTATATCTGAAAGAATTTGATATGTTGATGATATACAGACACATTTTCTCTTTGAGTGGATTCAAAGGTATGGCGAAAATATTCTAATATAAGGTTTCGAATGTAAGTCTAAAGGCTGTTTTTAAAAATAACATAAATTAAGGCAGCTTGGTCATGAGTCGGGGCGTACCTTCATGGACTGCGTGTCAAAAAAATCGATACAATGAAATTATTTTGGTGAATGAAATTTGATTGAAGGCACGTTAGTACCTATATAGAAATTAGCATGTTTTTTAATAAAATGCTAAACATATTTGCTATTGTTAGTTCTACGCATTAAGTGCATTATAATTATTTATATTTTTCAGCATTTGCTATGAGCATTGATCTTAATGAAATAACTATATAAATACAATAGCAAAAAAGATTTTTGGAAACCTTTATTTAAGGTTTAATCGATTTTATTTAAGATATTACTTTGACGATGCCGTGAAACCTAACCTATATTTAATTTGTTTTATAATGTTATGTTACAGAATCGAAAGAGAAGGAGAAAGAGAAGGAATCAAGCTGAATTGTGTCCCCGCAGGAGTGAACAAGACAAACCACCGCCAATCGATTATTTTAGAGCTCGCGTTAAGCTGCGACGCGACCGCGCGCCGCCGCCCACTGCACTATGTTGCCTCATTCTATTATGTTTATACCTAAATAAGTCTGAATACGATATCGTTCGATCTCAATATTAATCATTAAAAAATATATTTTTAAATGTAACCCCCTATCCGATACCGATCGAACCGTGTCGTAAGTAGGTACCGTTTATAGTCATTGTGTTTGTTTTTTGTCCGGCTTTATCACATCACATTAAGTAATTATCGTATTTTGTTATATTAATGGATTCTGATATATAATACAATGTACCATAAAGTCATAAGTTGAATCGTTTGACAACAGCGAAATTTGAACAATGAATTTATATTAATAATAATTATTTTTTTAAAAACCGTTTCCTTTTTTTTTACGATTAATTTGGCCTAAACTATGGTCTTTTCTGAAGTATCGAGTCTTTTTATTATTATAGTTTAATGTTTAAGACTTTATTTTTAAGATGAGATATTTTAATCTGCAGTTATTTTGAATGGCTATTATATATGTAAGATGCAGAGATGCTTAATCTTTATGTATGTTAAGCTTTAATATTTTATTAGTAAATGTTTAAAATTTTGGCCCCTCGAGAGCACACCCGCCCTGGGCCCGCGACCGCTCGGTGACGGCTGACGAACGTAAACCTTGCGTGTGATATTTTGTAGTAGGTATGCTAGATATTTTGCGGTAGGTATTTTTATGCAGCCTTTACACGACATATTTTCTTAATTTTGATGCCTAAAGTATATAATTGTTTTATATTTTTTATACTCTTAGAGATTTTGTAAATTATTTTCTAGTTAAGAGAAAAGAGAGTTCACTAAATTTATTTTAAACGCACCAGTCATTGTGTGGATAAGTAAAATCGGTCGTCCGTCTCGGGTCAAAGCTAGGCCGGGACTATCTTTGCTCACGGGACGATTGAAATCGGTGAGTACCTATCATTGTGGCGCCTGGCGCCATGGTTTGGTAGAACTCAATATAATCTATTGCGACCATAATATTTCTACTTCTTTGTATGTCTATCTACATACCGAACGATGTATCGAGGACTCTAAAAAGCTTTTTATGTATCTTTACACACAAATATCCACATATCTAAACGAACATAAACTTTCACACGATTTATATTAGGAAATAATATTTTGATACCAATATTCACTGTGTTTCTTTTTTTATATACTTACCTAGCATTTATATCTACTCTTAATTTTCGTAAGGTTGTAAGTAAACATTTACCGCCATATGAGATGTACAGTATGGTTATAATAGGCATAAATATGTACCCAGTACTAATTAAATGTTATATCTGTGTAACACATATCATGCGGATGTTAAATGTAAATCTGAGAGGCTGAAAAATGTAGTCCGTTGTCGCTAATCGACCAAACTAGAATCAATCTCACAAAACACTGCTCAAACCGCGCGCTGACGCAACTGTGCTCAACACGATGGGCTGACTTGGTTAAAACTTTAGGATTTTTATAAAATTTTACCCTTTTTGAACATTTTTGCTGGAGCATGGTCTGCGTTAGTGCAATTGTCCATACACGACCAGTGGTCTCGCATTGTCCCAGTATTGTGTGATACGTACCGTCTGCCGTAGGCTGTGGAGTAAGTACTACCGAGGTATTTGACGGTCTATCACTTTTAAGGCTATATAAGCGAGCTGAATCTCGATAGAGGGAGATAATCCGTTATAATTCTATCGAGATCGTCCCCTAGCTATTTAGTCAATAAAGTGGCAGATCACTCAAGTTCTTAGACTGTCCTTACTTGTGTAGTACAATCTGATGACATAATACGGGATAGTCTTGAGTTATGTAGCTTTTGTATAGATGTGTAACACGAGTGGCCGAAGTGTCACAAGCGTTGCTTTGTTTTTCTCGTACGGTGGCTTGGTGCTAGTTTCCTGTTGTACGCGGATATAACTCGCTTCAGTGTCTCGGACCAATATCTTAAAGCTATTTTAGTCTCCTTTATGGGTAATCCTTCGCTTTGTGTGTCAAAATATGTGCGAATTTCTTGTAATGTAAACGATACTATTATTAATTAAATCATGTGTATATCATTGACCTGTATAATGGTTTAGATTTATCTCTGAATTTTCTTCTATAAGAATATTTGATGGAATTCAATAGTGATTTAGAGAGCTGGGGTGACCGCGCCGTTTAAGATTGTGTCCAAATTGTTGTAGGTTAGTATCGAATTGATGTCAATATTTATGGAATCCTGAGAGGTCTTCAAGTAGACGTGAACCCGCGCCGTCACGCCAGCATGCTCCCGACAGACTGGGTCGTTATTGTATGAACACATTTATTTTTATAAGGGCGGGCCAGTGTGTGATATCTATACTATGAAATGAATAAATAAATATGTATGATCTGTAAAAATGCTTACTCGAGCATTTTATTTCATCTCCTGATACCTCGAAAGTCCCAACATTCATATTCCTATATAGGTCTCACTGTCTCAGATTATATTCTACAAATTCTCTACCTTTAAATCGGATTTCAGGAAATATATTACCCTTCTGGCGAACTATAGTACATCTATTCCACCTCCAGATGATTGCAAATAAATATAAAATGTAAATATTACTTAGTACGTATCAATGATTGGGGGATTTATCTCACATAAATACAGTAAAAAACGCTTATTAATTTTAAATAGTTATTTGCATTAGGTGTTAATGTTGGAAAAATTATTGTTCCCGTCAACCGGACTATAACAAATGTGCTTTGGACAATGCACTTTGGATAAAACAAATTATATAATAAATTTCGACATGCAGGGCATGAAAACGGAATAAAAAGCTCCTGCATGATCATTTAATGATAGTATGGCCGATTCATACCGGAATGGCAGCTGCTGGCAGCGATGACTGAGACGACGCGGTGAGCACTTTCTCACTAAAAGCAGTGTGACATAATTTTAAACTTCGTGGACATACATAAAAGATCGGTATCGCTTGAAAAGGTTCCGCGATATCGCGAGCGGGCGGGTGCGGGCGGCACTGTGCGCGACCGCGCGTCTTTTTTCCAGGCATTCCGGGCTTTCAGTTTGAAAGTATGCGTCGCCGCTGGCATTCCGGTATGAATCTGCCATAACTTGGTTGGACCGGTTTTGCATGATATGAGACAATTCTGCGCATTGGGACTGTGACCAAAAAGTATTTGTGAACGATTCGAAGTGTATAAGGGATTACAATCTCTTATCTATTAGACAAGTCCGTCCGTCTGTGGTGCTGTTTCAGCGGCCACACCGTAAGAGATAGATAAAGAGAATATTTAAGTTATAAGTTAAGAATAGTCTGATAAGACTACAAACCGGATTTGAGTAACGTAGCACTTCCGGTTTTCGAGAAATCGGGTTTTGGTGAACATTTGGTTCACTGGTTTGCTAGTTATATATAAGTAGGTTAACAGTTTAGTGGTAATGTAACATTAAAGTGTCAAAATTTTGTTGAAGTACTTGCAATGTTCGTGTGAAAGTTATTTACTTAAAAGCAAACCCATTCTCAAGTAATTGTTGGTATGTATAACTGTGTTGACGAGTAAGCTGAAATTTGGTATACCTAACGATACCTCGTGCACCAGTCCGGCGACAATTCAATACGTAGGTACTGTAATAGTTTTATAAATATATGCCTATGATGAAAGGAAAAACGGAATCAGGTCAAATTATGACAGAGGTCCCTAAAATTTTACGTAATATAAAAACGTAAAAAGTTGCCAGGATAAGCTACATTCTTAAAAACATTTACACCCAAAAAATAAAACGGAAAAAATACTCACGATTTATTTCAGTACGATTAATCTAAATAAACACCATAAACTACCACATTTGCAAATAAATGGCAGTTCTCGAAGTTGTAAGAGGCGAAATCGTCCCGCTCGTGGTCCCAAAGAAATGAGTGGAACATGTGGACACCCTGCTGCCGCCGCTGACCGATCGTCACCACCACTATCAAACGACATCTGTCAACAAACACAAAGTGTATCACATTTTTAGAATTCCGTAATAATTTTGGGTACTAATCCCTCTACACAGTGGGTATGTATTATTCCGTTTACCACAATGTCTAGGGTGCCCTTCAATAGGACTTAATGAATTAAAACATATTTTAGTTAGGTTTTCATTATTGAAATATAAAGCTGAGAAATATTGGTCTCAGTAAGGCTGTATACGGATAGTGTTAATTTTTCGTAGTAATTTCCGTGGAGTAGAGTTTCACCAAAACACACCTCACTGCGTGTAGTCACGATAGTTTTAAATGTTATTTGTACCGTGGTACCTACAGGTACATGAATACTTACCCCTTATCCTAAAATGTTTAATTCTTGTACTAAACTAAGAATCTTTGAGCTAAAATGCGGCCCTGGGTATCCGGATATGGCTAAAGTAGGTGTAAATGGATCATGGTTTCTCGTTTACTAAGAATAGATAGAACGGAAAGTATTGGTAGCTGACGAGCTGGTAATAAATCACTTTTATAACAAATGACCGCAAACGTATTCCAAACTATTGGGACGCGCGCGACTATTGAGTGGACATCATCAGTGTTCAATAAAATTCAATATGGTAGCTTTTCCTTACATAAACATGTACCCATTAGACAACTCACCTTAAAATTCATAAAAACACAAAACCTACTAGGAACATCAACATCTCCTTCTGCAACAGTAACAATAGACACAAGATAGCGCTGATACGCCAGCTAACAAAGGCAAAATGTACATCATTTTGAAATTTAAAGTGGTTTCTGTAATGGCTACATCGTTTTTAACCAATCTGATTTAATCTGCACCAGTTCAGTCCTAGCAAGGTCCTAACATTAGTATTTTAATAGACTTCTTTGCAAGATGTTACCAATCATTCTTTGTCATAGTGTCAAAACCAACGAGTATCAAATACAAGACTTACCTGTCATAGTTTTCCTCTTTTATAGAGTTTCTTATGGTTTCAGCCAGGTTCAGCGTAAGTTCGGGAACGGTTTTTTCACTGTATTCGACTTCAGCTAACTCATAGTCGATGATACGTTGCAGTATCTTCTCAATTTTTTCCGCGTTGAATTTTCGTCTCGCATTCAATTGGTACGTTGGCTGATAGATTCGAACCTGTTTAGATGCGGGTTTGGATTCTTGCATTATTAAGAAGTTTGATCGATTGTGAATGTTACTAGGATACTATTTTGTAGGTATTAGCACAAAATAGACATAATTTGTGGTATAAGGTACAGAAAGCTCCACATTATGAAGAAACAATTTTAAAAATATCTCTTAAAGTTACTACTTCGTACCTACATACTGGTATTTATAATGATTATGTATTAAACAAGATTTTTCGCTAACTGAATATTATAGCTGCACCTGCAGTATCTAGGTAGAGGAGGTACTTCAAAGCTATCAAAGTAAAAGCGCCTTATTTATGATTTTGAACAATTTCCAAACTTTATGAGTAAGTGACATTATCCCCTACAGAATCTAAGCTTACCACTTTAGTTTTATCACTTGCATAATATTTTCCTAAATCACTGAGCCTCATCGTCGAAATTCTATGTTCTTTGGACATTTTGTAAAAATCTGTTTTTCGCTCTAATTTGCATTAGAGCGAGAAACAGAGCTTATCGCAAAAATCCGACCAACTAGATATCATATAATTTCTTGTTCGATGTTTGTTGGCTCATTTGCTCTGAATGATCGCTGATCAGCCGGTCGTGTGAGTATTTGGCGTGATTTCATCGAGTGCGGTTTATGTCATATTGGCTTACTGATTCGTTAATAGTGGATATAGTAATTTAAAGGTGCTGTAATTTTGTGTTTAAATAACCGTCTGCGCAACTGATGAATAAGTCGAATCTTGAAAATAAACGTTACTTCCTCCAAGTGGATTTGAGAAATATATTATATTGTAGTGCTTTAATGAGAATGCTCAATATATTCTATATTTTTATAAATTTTATATTATTATAAAAAATAAATATCGTAGGTAACAAAAGTCCAAGAAACATTATTATTTTACACACGCATTCTTATCTAAAAAAAACTCGGATAACTGCGAGTCTGACTTGCCCACCGAGCGAGGGTTTCGTATTTTATAGTAGCTACGCAATATAAACGGCTGTATACTTTTTTACGTTAACTCAGAAATTTGATATTTTCACATCGTTAAGGGTATATGGTTGAAAATTTTAACTCGCTACCTCCACGCATTACTAACGATATAGTTTCGTTTGTCGTTTTCGTTGTCTTATATTCCATACAACCGTCACTGATCATTATAGTGTTGCTCTCTATATTGCTTCTAACCACAAATATAAACCTGATAAGTTAATAAAATATCTCGATGATAAGGGAATGCATAGGGACATGAATGGGTTGCAATTTGATACCTTATATTCAATGACTGATTGCAATTTAGCAGCTAACTATCTTGTTGAAACCATTAAAAAAAATATAATTGCTAATACCAAGTCACGCAAAATAGCAAGGCGCAGAAGGAATCTCAAGCCTTGGATAACTCCAGGCATTTTAAAATGTATAAGAAATAATTTATATAAAAAATATAAAGCTTATCCTGAAAATAATATTATTGCAACAACATTCAAAAGATATAGAAACTTTTGTTCAGCAATTATAAAAAAAGCTAAAAACAGACTATGAAACACACCTAATAAAGAGTGCTAATGGTAATAAAAAAAAAGATGTGGGACGCTGTCAAAAGCATCGCATATAATGTCACTAAAAAAGAAACAGCTTCAGAACTTCTAGGAAATAAAGACCCTCAGAAAGCTGTAAATGATGTCAATCGTTCCATTGCCAACATTGGAAAAACCCTAGCAGATAAATTTGCAGTAGAGATGGCTCCACAACGTCAGTCTAGTGACGTCCGTAGAACCTCTCTAAAGTCGTTTGTATTATTGGAAACTGATAATAATGAAATAGAATCATTAATAAGGAATTTGAAGAGTGACTGTGCGGTTGGGTTGGATCTGATTTCTGAAAATATTTTAAAAACATATAGTGGAATACTAACTGCGCCAATAACATATATGTAACTAAGCTTTATCAAACGGTTCTTTCCCAAATGATTTTAAGAAATCAAGAATCCAGCCCTTACACAAGAGTGGCAGTAGAGATTGTGTCAACAACTACAGACCTATATCCATACTCCCGGCGATATCTAAAATTCTAGAACGAGTAATTAATAACGGATTAGTTAAATATCTAGAAGAAAATAATCTTATATCACAGGCTCAATTCGGTTTTAGGTCAAAAAGATCTACTGCAGATGCAGTACATGAACTCACAAACTTTATAGTTACTAATATGGATAATAAAAAGAAAACTTTGGCTATATTCCTAGATATTAAAAAAGCGTTTCACACAGTCTCTATTCTCCTCTTAATCAGAAAGCTTGAAGGACTTGGTATAAGAGATGTACAGTTGAAGCTTTTCAAGGATTACCTTTCCAATCGTACTCAGTGTGTAAAGATAGACGAGATACTCAGTGACGTAACTGTAACTTACGGCGTACCGCAGGGAAGTATAATGGGACACTTCTTTTTTTTGGCTTACATAAATGATCTGTGTCAAATAGATCTACCACATGGTAAAATTGTAACTTTTGCTGATGACACAGCTTTACTTTTTAGTGGTGAATCCTGGGACGAGGTATATGCGAATGCTCAAAATGGATTTAATATAGTAGCAAGATGGTTAAACAATAATATTCTAACACTCAATGTCGAAAAGACCAAATATATAGCATTCTCCTTGAGACATGATAAATCCTTAGATTCACAATGTGATTTAATTTACCATAATTGTGGTAATATCACAGGCAGTGATTGCAATTGTACTCGTCTCCAAAGAACTGAGGCTATTAGGTATTTGGGTGTCATCATTGATCAAAAACTTAACTTTCAAAACCATATATATATGATCACAGCAAGACTACGTAAACTAATCGTAATATTTAAATCATTAAGACATGTCGCTGAAGATAATGTAATAAAGTCGGTGTATATTTTTCTTGTTTGAGGAGGAAATAAAGCGACTTCTCCATGTATATTGTTGTATTTGTTGAGGAAATAAAGCGAACTTCTCAATAAATAAATAAATGTATATTTTCAACTTCGTTACATTAATTTTGAATATATATGTGTAATCTTAGAGGAATCGAAGTTGGACCCTTTGGCCAAGGAAGTAGATCCACCACTCGTGCGCTCGGGTTTATATACAGGGTTACAGGGAAAGTCGTACTGAATATTGAAGGACGTTATTATCAGGTGTCCGAAATTTTTAGTTTGAGGTAAAATAGCAAAAATACGTAAATAAAACCAGAAAAGCATCATCATCACCAGCCTATTAATGTCCCCACTGCTGAGGCACAGGCCTTCCCTATTGATGGAATAGGGAGATTGGGCCATGACCCACCACGCGGGTCCAGTGCGGATTGATGGGTGCTAACGACTGCAGATGCGGCCGGGACCAACGGCTTAACGTGCCTTCCGAAGCACGGAGGAGCTCGAGATAGTAATTTTTGGTCACCCATCCAATGACCGACCACTGCGAAAGTTGCTTAAGTTCAACGATCGCAGCCGAACGCGCTAACCACTTGCGCCATCGAGCTGCTCAAAATTATGATTCATGTTCAACATGGCCGCCGCTATTTCTAACACAATATACTCTCAATCTTTTTCTTAAATTACTTTTTACTACAGAAGTTTTTAAGTTCCGCCTCATATCCTCAGCCGCACCAATAAATCCTTTGTCGCAAAATATCGATATTTGCAATCGGCGTCATCTGGTCGTATACAAGGCTTTTCATATGACCCCACATAGTCCAGATTAGTTTTACACTAGCGCTAGATGCAACCTCTCATGAGCCAAAGGTCATGCGCCGTTCTCACCTACAAGTGCCGGACTACTTTATGGACCGCCCGCCCGCTGAGTGGGAACGATTGCATTATTTTGCCGATTTCCCTGTTATTTTGTAAGGATACTGTTGTGGACTGTATGATGATTAAAACTCGATTTTTCTTTCTTGATTTATTTTCTTCTTATTTATTATTACAATTTTTGCTGTTCTGGATCGCATGAAAAAATACGCTATCGTCGTCTGGGCCGGTTGGCCCACTTCAGTGGTGTCGGGCTCGCATCTCGTCATCGGGACGAGACGGTCGTGTGGGTCGAGTACAGGTCGCGCAATGGTTCTAGATCGCTCGGCAAAAGTGGAAAGGGCATGCGCAGTATTCAATTTTAAGGTCTCTATGAAGACGTGCGGAGTGAGGGGGAGAGTGCGCCGACGGCGACTCGTTATTGGTAGGTTAGTCGCGCATCGATTCCCGCGCTGCGTTCACGCGTCTCGTGCCTCTTGAGTACTGTTGCGCACAGCTTGTGTTATCGTGTTACTAATACGTAGCGGTAAAAAATGGTTAAAAATAAAATTTTAAAACGGCAAGCTAGAAAAATGGTTTATGACGTGAATGGTACGTTAAGAAAGAAACTAATGAAATCGTGAGTAATTTAAAGCAGGTTAAAAATACAACTGCAGCAGCCTCAATATCATTACAGAAAAAATTGGCTACACCTATACAACGCTTACACCTGTTTGCAAATAGAACAACGAATACCACCGATAAGTCCGTATTAATTGAAATCTGCAACACTTTAGAACAAATTCGGGAAGAAACTGCGGAAGCTGGCACAACTAATGAAAATATTTTACAACAAGTTATGAGTAATTTGAAACAAGAACAAAAAAGAACAGCATTGGCAACAAATACATCTGTGATAACAGTCAGGAGGATTACCACACAGGCCGCAAATTCAGAGTTTTTAACGGTGAAAGACCGCGCGCAAAACCGATAACGGGTATTGATAATTTTGACCAAGGAGTCATAAAAAGATGTATTCATAACTTTCACTTAACTAATAAAGAAGTAAGGATGTTAAGTTACGTCCTTACTAAAAAGTTAGTTTAAGTTCAAAAATACGAAATAAAAAATCCCTTAATAACACGCTAAGAATTTCAGTGCGCGATTGTACACATGCGCCGATTGCTCCCTCTACTTTCTTCGAGCGATCTAGAACCATTGCATGACCTGTACCCCCCTCCGCTTCTTCACACGTCGCCCTCGGCGCGGTCAAGCCCACCGGGTGAGACCCATGAGGGAGGCCCAGTGAGCGACCAGCGAGCGGTCGACGGACTTCAGCGGGCGGGGGTAGTGGTCGAAAAAATTTTTTCGGACTGCCCGAACTTTTTGGCAAAGTCGGTGAGCAAGTCCGAAAGCTGGAGCAGCAGGCGGGTGGTTGCGTCTTGAGTGGGCGGCGGCGAGGCTGGTGTTTGGTTGCCATCTTTGGGTGGTGGGACTGCGGGAGATGTGCTCGTCGGCGATGCGTTGCTCGCGCGACGGTGTCTACGGCTGCGTCGTTTGGGGCGGCTGGTACGTGAGGGAGGAGCGTTCGCGGGGGCCATTAGCGTGGCCGGCGCGTGCTCACTCACCTCCGTGGGCTGCTGGATTGGCTCGGTGGGCGGGCGGCCTGTGCGGGCCACTGTTGTGGCGCGGCGGTTGCGCGCCTCGCGGTGTTTCGCGGGGCACGCGCTATAGATGGCTGGGTGTGCGGGTCACCGCAGCGCACGCAGGCAAGCGGGTGGTGACATCCGTGGCTGGAGTGGCGGAACCCAGGCCTCTATCTGTATTCCTGTCATACACAACAACTCACTTACGGAGTAGATGGCTGGGATGGTCTCGGGGGTTCGGCGTAGCGAGGCGAAGTAAAGGCTTCCGGTGCGGCCTGCTCGCGCCCGGATCTCCTTGATGTGTTCAATTGCGAAGCCCTTTTCAGTAAGGGCCTCAGCAATGTCTTGCGGCTTCGTGTCGGTAGGCAGGCCTCTGATAGCCACCTTAAGGCTTCTTTCGTCTGGGTGGGCGTGTGAGTACCAACTCAGTCCGGCCTGTCCCTCCAGTCCGGAGAGGTAGGCCTGGACGAGTCGGCCCTCGTCGTCACCCGAGCCAAACGGGCGTACGCTAGGTGGACGTCCGAGTTTCTTCTGTATGATGCGCAAGTGTTTTGGCCAGTCCTGCAGCTGCTCGACCACAATAGGCGGGTGTTTACGAACCCGCTGGGGTGTGGGAGCGCTGCTGGAGGCCAGTTTCGCATTCTGTGCGGTGGTGGGTAGTGCATCGGTGGTAGGGGTTTTTTCGTCGTCTGTGTGGGTAGACGCGAAAAAACCTGCGGCCTGTGCGTAAGACTGTGTCGGTACAGCAGTCTGCTCCGGTTGTGGTTCTTCTTCTGGGGCGGCGGGAGCGGCTTCTTGCGTGGGTTGTTCATGCTGCGGTGCAGGGG